GATATAGAATCATTAATTACGTATACAAACCTTATAAAAAACGTATCATTTCCTTATTTCGATTTCTTATAGGGTAAGTATTCCTCATAGCTCTTGGAAAATATGATAATGTTATCTAGATATACAAGTACAAATTTTCTTTTACATGTCGTAGTATATCATCCATGGCTCTTTGAAAGGTAGCAGGTGCATTACACAACCCAAAAGACATAACATTAAACTCATATAATCTATGTTTGATAATAAATGCCATTTTAGCTTTATCATGTTCTCTAACCTTAAACTGCCAGTATCCTGAGTCTAAGTCAAGCATTATATATAATGTTGCTCCTTCTAAAGATTTTAATAATTCATCGATCCTTAGTAACGGGTATCGATCTTTTATGGTGACATCATTCAATTTCCTGTAGTCTACACAAAATCTTATTTTTCTATTTTTCTTCCGTATGAGTATTACTGGTGAACTCCATTGGCTTCGTGATGACCGTATTATTTCCTGCTCTAACATACTTTTGATTTCTTGTTGAATATACTGATCATCTTTACTTGATATCTGATACAGTTTTAATGCAACTGGTAGTACTTTTTCAGTAAATATACAATGTTCGTGTTGATCAGAATGTATAAACTCTTGTATGGTAGTAGCAAAACTATTAATATTTCTATAAAGGAAATCTTTTAATTTTGTTATTAAATCAGTCGACAAACTTTCACATGTAGTATATTTTCCTGTGTTTTACTAATTTCTATATGGATATCATTTTCTTCGAGCTAAACCCTATAAGTTGATTGTATTCTCATACTATTCCTGTAATATTGATATGTTTGAATATCCTTTATGACTTCCCTACAATTATAACATTGGCTTTCAGCTTCTATCGTTTTTAGATACCAACATATAGCTGGTCCTTTTGTTTTGTTATACATTCAACTCATATTCTAAATGTTGTAGGTAGGGTTCCGCAATTCGATTTGATATTTGAATATTTGATTTGATCAAATTCAAATCAAAGAATGATTTATTTGATTA